GGAGCAGCCAGGCTCAACCCAGCACCCACATGGATGCGGTGCAAGGGCAGAGGCTTAGTGCACTGTGCCACAGCACCAGCCCTGATAAAACTTCTTGAAGCAGCTGACCATGCTTGTTGCCTCTGATTTCTCTTTCGTGTTCCGTCCTGATCCCATTCTTTTTTTTATTTGTTTTGACAGGCAGAGTGGACAGTGAGAGAGAGAGACAGAGAGAAAGGTCTTCCTTTGCCGTTGGTTCACCCTCCAATGGCCGCCGCGGCCGGCGCGCTGCGGCCAGCGCATCGCGCTGATCCGATGGCAGGAGCCAGGAGCCAGGAGCTTCTCCTGGTCTCCCATGGGGTGCAGGGCCCAAGCACTTGGGTCATCCTCCACTGCACTCCCTGGCCACAGCAGAGAGCTGGCCTGGAAGAGGGGCAACCGGGACAGAATCCGGCGCCCCAACCGGGACTAGAACCCGGTGTGCCGGCGCCGCAAGGTGGAGGATTAGCCTAGTGAGCCACGGCACCGGCCCTTGATCCCATTCTAATCAGGATTTTATGCTGGTCATATCATCAGAGTTGCTCGAATTTCATCTCTGGGTACCTTGCACTTTGCTAAATCCAGTGGCCAACCCTTACTTGTTGTTTCACTTGACTTGTCAAGAGCTCTGGACAGAGCTGATCATTCTATCCTCTTTCATAACACACTTCTGCACTTGGCGTTCAGGTCACCATGCCATCCTGACTGTCCTTCTTCTCTACCACTATCTCTTTTCAGTTTCTCTTCAGCTTCCTGATTCTCAACATTGGGGTGACTTAGGGCTCAGTCCTGGCACCTCTTATTTTTGTTACTGACATTCATCCTCTAGATGATTTATTTATTTTTTGCCCATAATCAAAACTTTATTGAAAAACTGACATCAAGGGGGCCGGCACCGTGGCTCACTTGGCTAATCCTCCATCTGCGGCGCCGGCATCCCATATGAGCGCCGGGTTCTAGTCCCGGTTGCTCCTCTTCCAGTCCAGC